TTGGGCATTATTAAAATATATGCTCGAACTTGAGGGGGAGTGTTATGGAATATAGGATATATATTTGATATATAGAATCCCTATAGATTAGGCAGTCTTAGGGATTTAGGAAGGTAGAGTATATGGAAATGTGTTTCCTATATGTAGTCTTCTAGTACCTATTTATATGGCTTTGTATTCTCTATTCTAAATGACAGTTTGAATAATATACGACAACACATTAGAATATTCTCTCTTTCACTTTCGTAACAGAGTTCATGTGTGTAGAAGGGCTTAGATGCAATATGTTTTGTAAGGTTCTCCTTAACAAACCTATTACTTGCTTGTGCAACACAATCTTTATTTGTCCTCATATGGGATATTGGGGTAAAAACATAGCATAACCAGTTTGGGACTTGGCATCATAGGGATATTTGTCCGCACAACCTTTTTTTTTTTTTTTTTTTTTTTTTTTTTTTTTTTTTTTTTGGGGTACAAAGTAATTATTTAGATAGTCAAATATTATTATATTATTATTTACTAATAATAATTTTCTTGTAATGATCCCAATATAATTATTTGTAATTATCAGTATTTAGTGATTATTTAAATATTATTTTCATACATTTAAAAAAATAACTAGATAATATTCATACTCCATTGATTTGATTTGTTAATAACACAAACTTTTTTTTTTATTATTTTTATTTTTTATCATTAAGTAGTGGTGGAACCCGGCCTAGCTGATAGGCTAATGCTTGCTCACATCAATGTTGTGGTGCACCGCCTCACAATTTTCCTTCTCAAAGAGATCGCGGATATCACTCGAAGGATCCTCTAACTCAATCCAGTAACATTTTCGCATTGCCATGCATCTTGGCAACGTCATCAACAACACCAATTTGCTCGCGGGGAACATGAGTGATCAAAACCTCCCAATCTTTGTTGGTCTAATGGGGGCAAGCTCTAACGGCATTCCCACTTGGATTTAAGGGCTCGGGCCCTTCGTTGATCCATCTAATTACTACCTCTAAATCACTCTAAATTCATAATTTTTTATTTTTTTTGACTCTCTAAGCCCAACCAAGTGCCCGGTTGATCATATCGCCCAACATTCCCCTTCGGCAATCTGATCATCCATTACCATCTACTTGATTATGCTTGGATGTTTTTATGACATAATATCTGGTCCTGGTGTTCACATTGATATGGTTATTACCCATGCATCTAATCTATATATATAGAACCTCAATAAAAACATCAATTTATATTTTATAAAATCACAAAAGCATTGTCATGTAAATATGTCATTTATTATTATATGTATATATGTTCAAGTGTATAAGAAATATATACACATTTTTTACCAAAATGAATAATTAGTCCCTATGCACGTGAGAGATCACATGAATTGAACAAATAAATTGTATTTGTAGCATGCAAATCAGACATTATTTTTTTGGGGTGTACCCAAGATTTTCATCATCGAACACAGCGATTAATTTCTTCGTTGGATTGTTGGATTGTAGGAACCTCTTTTAGGTGAGACAGCTGACTCGGAAATTTAATAACTACTCCGATCCATACCCAAAATCAAAGATCAAATACCTTTGACCTTTAGTTAACGATGAATGAGTCACTCCCACTCAACCACATTCTACGTTAAATTATATTTAACATTATTTGAATAGAGACTGCCAGTGCTATTTGCCTTTAATAGTGCTATTTGCCTTTAATTTTGATCTCTATTGTTTATCCACTTGTTCTACAAAGATCCACATGTGTGTCTGTATATATGTATGATGTTAGTGCATTGTCCGACCAAGTGGTGGGCTGTCCACTACTGATAACATCATATATAGTGGCGTTTCATGAGCACATTCGATCGTGTTTCTCGCCGCTGCAGCTTTAGAAGATTCGATTCTACCACATTTTTTTATTAGTGGTATTTTGAGTAGATCCTAACTATAAGAGACATTCAGACTAATCTTTATTCTATTGAGTCGGCCAATTAAGGAGCAAAGTGCTGGTTAGATTAATTTTTTCATACGAGAGGGAATTCGTGGTAAATTATATCGTATGTATTGTGCGCCCTGTCCCAAAATGACGTCGTTTTGTACTTTTTGTTTTTAGAAATTCATGTTCCCGTGTTAGCTTGTAACTTTTTTTTTTAAATTTTTTTTTTTTAAATCTATGTTTCGAATGTACATAATTGTATAAAAAAATACACATAATTTTTTTTGAAATGATAATACACATAATCTAACATAATACATAAACTCCTAACTCTTAAAAAAATTTCTTGTTTTGAATGTACATAATTGTATAATAGAATGTATATAATTGTATAACAGAATACACATAAACTCTGCTCCCCACACAATTAAACAAAACGACGTCGTTTTGGGCAGGACGGAACGCACAATGCATTGAACGCTTTGGTGCACGATATAAAATTAGGAGTTCGCACTTTCGACCCCTCTTAAAAATGAGAGTGTACAGCCACTAACACCAACCAAACTATTTCGATTCTACCATATTTGATAATATTAGATTGCACTTAATTTCATCATCATGCATCATATCATCTCACTACCCAACCCAAGCAATAACATCCACTTCCATCCATCATGATTCTCCCAACATCTTCCACTTTACTTTGACCCCGCAGACTACATCATCAACGTTATCCATTTTGGTAGCTCCACCTTTTTTTTTTTTTTTTTTTTTTTTTGAAAACGTAGCCTCACCCTTTCTCTTTCCACTTCTCTCTTCGGATAACAACCACATTAACTCTTCCTCTCCAGCAATTATTAATTTATCATAATTCACTAAATTAAAGAATATGTTCCACTTTAACTAAAAATTATGTTAATTGTGATATTGTGATATTACATATTTATTATTTTATACTAGTCTTTTATGCGCATTGTACGATTGAGATAATATCTAATATTTTTTTTTAAAAAAATAAATGCATTAAAGTATATCAAGACAAGATTATATTGGAATTGTTCATGCATAAATAATTGAATGTTGAATTTGCGTATTTAAATTGGTAATTCTAAGTTTACAAATGCAAGATAATATAGTCAAGATTATATTGGAATTGTTTATGCATAAATAATTGAATGTTGAATTTGCGTATTTAAATTGGTAATTCTAAGTTTACAAATGCAAGATAATATAGTCAAGATTAATTATAATTGTCAATAAAATAATTGTATAGGTATTGTTGAAACCAAATATGGGACATAAGGGAGAGCAAATAAAAATTAGGGCATAAAATATTAAATATATACTAATATTGAAGAGCTAACTGCTGATTCCCAAACAAGGACATTGCAAGGTAGTTTCCCACTTCAATTTGTTGTGTGATTTGAATACACTTTTGTTAACAAATCTCCCAATTAGTTAATATGATTGGCTTAATTATATATATATATATATATATATATATATATATATATATATATATAATTTTTTAAAAACAATTATTATTATTGTTATTATTATTATTATTATTATTATTATTATTATTATTATTATTATTATTATTATTATTATTATATGTATACCCTTAGTTCATTTTACATGTTAATCTAAATGACTAATTTTTTCAAATATCTTTTTACCGACCGTTGATATAATTCGCTGGTCAAATCCGCTAACGCTAATCGCTAACTACTAATTGTCAAACAAGGACATTGCGAGATAGTTCTCACTTCAATTTGTTGTGTGATTTGAATACTCTCTTTGTTAACAAATTCCTCAAGTAGTTAATATGATTGGCTTTATTAATTATATTTTTAAAATTTTTTCATGGTATTAATAAAATACTTGGTAAATAAATATATAGCATTATTTTGTACTCTAACTTTGATATTTAATTAAAAAATAGTGCACAAAAAAGATAATAGACAATGTAGTAATTTTACCTTGAAGAAAAATAAAGACAATATAACTAATAAAATTATTTTTCTTAATTAATTTATTGATAATGAATATTTTTTTAATAAAGACATTGTAGGGACAATGTAGCGAATATAATCAATTGATGAATTTGAATGTAAAGAATTTTTATATTGGAGAAAAATAAAGACAATATAACTAATGAAATTATTTCTTTTATTTAATTTATTGATAATGAATAATTTTTTTTTTGAATAAAGACATTGTAGACACATAATTCTAAATTAAAGAAATGCATATGTATTATTTTTTGTTGTAGCTACTAAATTATTATTTAATTTAATGAGAGTAAAATAGAGTACTAATTATGCCAACTTTGATTGAGATGAGGTTCGAACCTAAGACCTTTCTTATTGAAATCAATGAGTAAGTTAACGGTTAACTAACAGAAATTAACGGAAAACATAATATTTAACGGAAAAGTTAACGGATAATCATATTCATTAAGGATAATTTAGGACATCTTAAGGAAAAATTAAAATCTGATCAATCTGAGCCATTCATTTGATTAAAAAATTTGACCGTCATTTTTTCTACCCATTATAGGCCTAACTCTCTTGGGCTCTTATTAGTATATATATACATACATATATATATATATATATATATATATATATATATATATATATAGATATAGATTATTTTTTTTAAGTAATCTGCTGCATATATTAATCAATCAAAGCCGAAACAAAAGCAGGAGGAACATCCTCCCACATCAAAGAGTTCGCCTGCACAGAGGCTGCCTGAGCTAACGAATGAGCTAAAACATTTGAAGTACGGGGAATGTAAATAACTGAACAAGAAACTAATAAATTCGTCAAGTCTCGACATGCTGAAACAACTATACCATCATAAGTGTGAAACTCAGTCGCTGAATTAACAAGAGCGTGACACAGGTTCGAACAGTATGTCCGAAGCACAACTTCCGTAACCCCACGATCTCTAAGCCAAGATAGGGCCTCCTTACACGCATAGGCCTCCGCCATAAAGGGTCCCTGATATAACGGTAGAGTGCCGTTCTTGGCCGCAATGAAAACACCATCCGCGTCTTACAACACAAGGCCAAAAGCCCCTCTCCTTGTCGCGGCCGAGAAAGCCGCATCAAAGGAGCATTGTAGCGCCGAGGGCGACTGCCCAGCAGCGGCACTGGATGCAGCAGACTGCTGCTGCTGACCTGGACCATTCGTAGCCGCACGCCACGCGTGAAGAGATGCCAACGCCATTGCATGCACCTGCCGTGGCCTTCCCACCTTGAACTCCCATACCGCCGAGTTCCGTTGCAACCAAATATGGTACATAATGGCCACCATAGAAGTGAATTGATTCTCATCAACATTTTGCAATACCAACTGAAGCCATGCACCAAAATCATCTCCCACCGTATTCTGCACTATTAAACCCGAAACATTCCACACACATTTAGAATAATCACATTGTACCAAAGAGTGTAAAACATTTTCAGAACATAGAGCACACAAAGGGCATGCTAATGGGACTTCTACCCTCCTATTGAATAAATTCATAGTGGTGGGAAACACTCCCCTCACGGCTCTCCACAAGAAAACTTTCCACTTAGGGGGTGCCTTCAGGTTCCAAATTTTATTCCAAGATGAGAAGCCACTGGGGGGCACAATAACGGTCCCCATTAAATCACGGTAAGCACTTTTCACTGTGTAAATTCCTTTGGAGTCCCCATGCCAATACCACATATCATCAAAGGCAGGACTAATTGGTATTGTAGAAATCCGATCTACATCTCCGGGTGAAAATAACTCATTAAGTAAAGGAATGTCCCAGGTAGAGGATGCGGGGTCTATTAATCCAGACACTTTAACCTCCCCCAAATGAGGGGGTTTATCCGACACAATCCTTGGTTCAGAATCCCCTATTGACCACGGATCACCCCATACCAACGTGGTATTACCATTCCCAATCCTACGCCTGATATTGCGAGTAATCAAGCCCTGTGCAGCCATAATACTCCTCCAACAAAAGCTTGGATTATTTCCAACAGAGGCATTCAAAAAATCAGAATTTGGGTAGTACCTGGCTTTATACACCTTTGCTACCAACGATTGCGGATTAGTCAGAAACCTCTCACCCTGCTTGCCCAACATAGCTATATTGAAAACTCTCAAATCCTTGAAGCCCAACCAAGCAAGCCAATGAATTCCACCTCCATCCATCCCATTACGCCACCAGAATCTATTCATAACACGCTCCAGATTTTTACACAAAGAATCAGGCAACAGGAACACACTCATAGTAAAAGTTGGCATTGCTTGAGCCACAGATTTCAATAAAACTTCTTTCCCTGCCCGTGACAGAAGTTTCTTATTCCAGGAGCCTATTCTTTGTCTCACCTTATCCCCCACATATGCAAACACCGGCAAAAGCCGGCAAGCCTAAATATTTTCCAAAATTCACCGCTCGCTGAACCCCAAATACTGCAGCCACCATATCCCTATCTGCTTGCTGAGTATTTCTACTAAAACAAATATTTGATTTATGATAATTAATGGTCTGGCCAGAGAGCTCCTCATAAAATGAGAGAAACCGTTTGATCGCCTGTGCCTCACCAACATTTGCCTTGAAAAACAATAAACTGTCATCCGCAAAAAAGAGATGTGAGAGAGCAGGGCCCCTCTCGCCACCCTTAATCCATGGACAACACCTCTATCCAGAGCCTGCTGTAATAACAATGATAACCCCTCTGCACAGATAATAAACAAATATGGGGATAAAGGATCCCCTGACAGAGCCCACGAGACGGGGTTATCTGACCTCCAGACACACCATTAATCATAACATTATATGATACAGTAGTAACACATTCCATAATCAAGTTCACCCACCTCACCTGAAAGCCCAACGCCAACATCATCTTCCTCAAGAACGACCACTCCATTCTATCGTAAGCCTTCGTCATATCTAACTTCAGGGTTCCCAATCCCACCTTTCCCAACTGTTTCCTATTCAGGAAATGGCCCACCTCAGCAGCAACCAAAATATTATCCGTTATCAACCTGCCAGGGATAAAAGCACTTTGCGAAACAGAAATAATATCACCCAACAGGGGCTTCATACGGTTAGCAATAACTTTCGCAACTACCTTATACACAACATTACTCAGGGCGATCGGACACAGATCAGTTACCAACTCTGGGGACTGCGTTTTAGGAATAAGCACAATATTCGACTCATTAAGGCCAACTGGCAAAGACCCCGTATTTAAAGACTCCAGCACAAAACCAGTGACATCTGTCCCAACAACATCCCAGAATTTCTGATAAAAGCCCGGATTGATTCCATCCGGACCCGGGGCCTTGTCTGAAAACATAGCAAACAAAGCATCCCTTACCTCCCCTAGATCATAAGGCCGATTCAACCAATCATTATGGGACTGAGTAACACGAGTGTGGATAGAGGCAAAAAAATTTGCCCCATCATTCACAACCGGATTAGCAGTAAAAATGTCATTAAAATAATTCATTACAACCGGTTTCATTGCATCACCATCTACCCATCCACCCAAATCTTCTTTAAGGCGTAAAATAGTATTCTTACGTTTACGGGCAGAAGCATACCTGTAATAGAAACGAGTATTTGCATCCGCCCCACGAAGCCAGTGCTGCTTAACTCTTTGCCTCCAAAATACATCCTCTTGCTTCTCAAGCCTCACCAATTCAGTTTCTAGACGGCAAAAATCCTCTAACGCCTGAGGGCTCAGACGGCCCCGACAACTCATATGTTGTTTCTTGAAACTAGCGATCCACTCACCAAACTTATGGAAACGATCACCGCCCCAACTCTGAAGCCTCATACCACACCTCTCCAATCGGGTCTGCAAATCCTCCACCCCATGTCCCCACGCCTCCTCTACCACCTCCCTACAGCCCTCATCCAGCAACCAGGCCATCTCAAAGCGAAACTGTCGAGGCCCTACTCGGATCCCCACACCTGGCCGAATGTCCAGGAATAGAGACGAATGGTCCGATCTCCTAGTGAGTATATTATAGACCCTTGCACCCTCCACCACCCCCCGCCATTCATCACACGCCACAACCCTGTCTAACTTCTCATCCACCCAAGCCACAGTGCCTTCCCCCTTTTCCCAGGTAAATTGGTACTCAATCATAGGGATCTATACCAAACCACAATCCTCCAGCGCTTCCCCAAAACCCCTCAATAAAGATTCAGGATGCCGAAAACGTCCCCTCTTCTCATACTGGAAGAACAAGTCATTGAAATCCCCCAAAACCACCCAAGGCAGCGTAGAGCGAGACCTTAAGTGTCTTAAAAGATTCCATGACTCCTCTCTATCACTACGATCCAGGAAACCATAAAATCCCGTGATCCTCCAGTGCGCAAAACCATCAATCCGTATAACTACATCAACATGGTTTCTGGAATAACTTAGCAGACTAACCGTATCATTCGTTTTCCACAACAAGGCCAAGCCACCACTCAAGCCCCTACTATCCACATAGAACAGACCCTGAAACCCCAACTTCACACGTAACCGCTCAGCATGTTCTCTACCAACCTTCGTTTCCATCACGAAAATAAAATCGGGCTTCTTCCTGGATGCCATATCCAGCACTTCCCGAACTGTTCGTGGATCACCCAAGCCATGACAGTTCCAGCTCAAAGTACTCATAATGACGGGCGGGTCTGGGAACCAGAACCCGCCATGAACAAGTTTTTTGAAATGTCTGTCATTGCCACATCCACACCAACCCCCCCCCCCCCACCCCCAACTCCCTCACCATCCCGCCCCTCCTCCCTCCGCATCTTCGGTCCGCACGTCACTCCCTCCCCCGCCACCGGCTGCCCTACCGGACCACCCACAAACCCGCCATCCACCCCTGAGCCAACCGGCATCCCCCCAACCACAACCACCTCCTCCCTCTTCCCCCACCGGAATTAGTCAAGAATGGCCAATCGGCCTCGGTCCACGCTGCAATCCGCCCTTCATCTCAACCCCATACGGATATTGGTCCACCGTGAGTGTTGAATTACGTGCTTGCAAACAAAACTTGTATGAATGGCCTAACAAGCCACAAAAGAAGCAAAAAGTGTGTAATCTTTCATACTTGAAGCTCACCAAACACCACGTATTATCCCGTTTTGCCAACTTCATCCTCCGCCGCAAGGGCTTAGCCACCGGAATACTGACACGGATCCGATAAAACGCCTTCCACGGCCGGTCATCAAACCTCTCATCCCCCTTCACAAACCCACCAAGGAAATTACCAACCTGCTCCTGTATGACCATGGATGTATACCCATTGGGAGTCCATAGACCTGGACCCACATATCAACACTATCAAGCACCACATCCACCGGAAGTACCTCATCCTCCACCGGTCTACACACTAAGGTGTGATTATCAAACGACCATGGCCCCTCATCTAACACACGCTTCAAGTCCGTCTGATGATAGAAAACAAACAAACAAATTAGGTTGTAATTCTGAGACCTGCACACCACACACGGGCTGCCACACGGAGGCCAACACCTCCTTCATGAACTCCAGTTTGACCATTCGTCTCGTCAAAAACCTGCCAACTAGCACCCATGTACGTCGGTCCTCTCCCGTCTCCTCCGCGACGGTCTCCCCAGCCGGAACCAACACATCCTCTTCGTCATGCAGGGTAATCCCCGCATATCCCTCCACCAACTCCTCCTCAGCAGCAGCGTTCGTCCATCGCTCCATCACCCTGCAGTCGCACGGTGAACAAACAGAAACAGACGCACCAATCACCGGAACAAGCAAGGCTAGATCGGAAAACTAGGAAGAAACCCTAGAAGAAACGAAGAAAAGCTCCAGAAACCCTTGAGAGAAAAAGATTCCTAGATATAGATATTTATTCATGTGTATTTTTCGTGTATTTTTAAGTTATGAATATTGAAAGAGTAGATTTTTTTTTTTTTTTTTTTTTTTTGCACTATAATATACTAATGTACTAATTATAATAAGTTTTTATTTTTTATTATTTAATTTCATAAAAAATATTTTATTTTGTAATAATTTCATAATATATTTATCAAAATTTTATTTACGATTTTAATAATAAAAAAAAAAAACTAAAAGATGAGCTTATGTATAAATAATTCATGTATATTTTCAAAAAAAAAAAATTCATGTATATTTTGTTCAATATTACTTGTGAAACAAAGAACAGTCTTAAGAGACTCAAGCTATTATGTTACTCTACTAAATTTCATGCTAGCCCGTCCGAGCCATCAGACTTATTGATTTCGAGGGTTATCGGGCTGATTTTTATCAAACTCTTTTTTTTTTTTTTTTTGTCCTAATCCTAAAATTTTCATTCTTATCAGGTTAGTTGTTAGTCCATCGGCTTCACGCTAAGATATGATTGACGACATTCCTAAATCTATGTTCCTCAGACTCACCAGATTGACTATATCTTGTTTGAAACTTAACACAAAATTGTATATTTCTGCGCACAAGAAAGCCAAGTAACTTAAACCCAAACTTGAGCCTCCAGATTTTATTTTTTATGGTGATGATTAATTCAAAGATAATGATCAAATCTTTACAATAGATACTGTAATAAGTGTGCTTTAATTTGTGAGACATGTTATTTCATGCATGCTCTCGTGGATCATACAGTGATTTGTAACTCAATAACACGAATTGATCAACATATATTTGTGTCCTACAATAGCAGTTTTATCAGTTTTAATTTGATTGAATGAAATTAATTTGATGCAAAACAAAAACCCAAAATTGTGATTTGTATAATTATATCTACAAACTTAATAATACAAATGCAAACTTAATAAGAGTCAATAAAGTTATATCTCTAACGTGAACTAAAAAATGTTGGATGTTTGTGTAATTGTTAGTTGAAATGAATGGTTCATATTATAGTGATTTTAGTATTTTTTTTAATTATTTTTCTTACTTCACCCTCTATTATATCATTTACTTTTTTTTTAAATATCCATACATTTTGTTAGTGTAAACTTTAGTAACGGAATATTCCGTTAACTATTTATTATTATTAACTTACTCATTGATTTTAATAGGAATGTCTTAGGTTTGAACTCCGGCCCATACCAATCAAAATTGACATAATTGTTGAACATATACTATGAATATGTTAGAGTGTATTAAAAAAAAAAACAATATAAAATATAATATGAACTTTGGTTAATTAATCAAGAATTCATTTGTGGTCAAATTAATTCTCCAACAAGAGAGGGTGTTTCTGGCAACAAGAGAAAGCATGGATCATGCCAAACTGGTAAAATTAATAGGGTTCAGTGTTGCAAAAACTATGCTAACTATGCTTGGGTACTATCCAGGGTGTTTCCCACTAAAACTGTTATTGCACTTGTTAATCAAATATTTGGTCATATTTATATATTCTTAAAATATTTACTTTTATAGAAAATTTGATAATGTTGCATTGATATACGACAAGATACCGAATAATACTTTCATAGATTTTGAAACACTAATTTAATAATACACATTGTGCATTAAACTATTTACGCAATGCGCGTGTAGTAACTAGTACACTTTATATATTTGAATCACCGTAAGGATTTGATTGAATTAGTGGTTGGGGTTGAGATCAGATGCGAAAGAGGTCACATGTGCGAACATGCAGTTACATGGGAGCTGTTGATCAAATCTAGATCAACAGCTTAAATCAATGAAAATTATTTTTAAAAAACGCGTCGTTGAAAGTAAGAAGCAAAAGCTAAAAATAGCACAACTTAAGTGTTAGAAAGACGCATCTTAAGTGTTAGAACAACGCACCTTAAGCGTTAAAATGACGCAACTTAAGTCTTAACATGCGCACCTTCAGTTTATAAAAATTGCGCACATTAAGTGTTACAAGGACGCACCTTAAGCTATGGAAAGACGCACCTTAAATTTCAACAGAAAACGCACCTTAAGTTCTCAACTGAAGAATTGACGCACCTTAAGCACAAAATCCACGCACCTTAAGAAGGAAAATCACACACCTTAAGTTTGACCTAGACGCCAAAAGACCAAATTGCCACCGTGGTTTTTCTTTTTGTTTTTTTTTTGTTTTTTTTTTTTAAATCTGTGTTCAATCTGGGCGATCTTTTTTAGTGAGATCAACGATTATCATTCAACCGCATCTTTCACTTGGACACAATATCCGCATGTGATCTATAATCTTAGTGGTTGATTCAAAAACCTTTGCAAGTGGAGGCAACTAAAACAATAGTAAGGTAAAATATTTATATATTATATTCATCATATGTAGAAATGTTACTATAAATATATCAAAGTTAATTATAAATTCTTCCAAGAATGATAGCTTTATCTAGTTGAGTATGAGATTAGGCACTAAATGTGGAATACAATGATCATTGAGACTTGCAGAATTATATACACTTTATATATTTGAATCACGGTAAGGATTTGATTGAATTAGTGGTTGATTAAAAAACCTTTGCAAATGGAGGCAACTAAAACAATAGTAAAATAAAATATTTATATATTATTGTTATGTAGAAAATTAAAAGTTTATTCCATCAGAGGTCTCTTTTTTTAGTGGTGATTTCAATTTTAGTCCCAAATTATTATTTTTACCATTTAACATCTCGGACTATTATTTTTTGGACACTTTTAGTCATTTCGAAAATTTTTTCAATAAGATCCTAATTTTAGTAAGAGAATTTTAGTCCGTTCATATTTTGTTTTTAATTTTACCGGGTTCACCCGTTTTATTTATTGACTAGTATTTGTACCCGTGCGATGCACGGCCATAAATAATAATAATAATAATAATAATAATAATAATAATAATAATAATAATAATAATAATAATAATAATATAATTAAACAATATAACATAATAATAAAAATGAAAAAAATTTATACAGAGTAAATAATTTAATAACAATTAACATTGAAATTGTATTACACATTATTAAATAAAAAAAATTAGTATACAATATTTTTAGTCGTACTCACAGATTGTCCTTTATCCCTACGAATCAAAATTTTTAATCCCCTTGAATTACTTACTTTTCAAGAAATTAAAGTTTATACAATAATCCTAAATACAGTATAAAAAATATATGAATATAATTCATATTATTTTTCAATTTAGAAAAAACTTAACCAATAAATAGATGATGGTAGATGATGAAAATCATATTTTGATACCCTATAATAATTCATTAGCTAAGAAACTGTGAAGTATTGTTGTAATATTTATAATAAAAATTATATAATACAAATGAGATTGAAAACTAATTTCAATTTTCTTTGAAAATATATAATTCTATAAGTATAGGATCTTAAAATCTAGACATGACTTTGTATGCTAACATTGGATATGGTGACCTTCATAAGAAAAAGAATTTGTGCATCTGTCCCGGCTTCAACACCTTTTCATCCAATAATGTTTTTAAACTAATCACACACCTCAACGTTTTATTTATTATGTGTATTCATCATTACTTTAGAAATATGAAATGTGTTGTAATTAGTCTCATAAACATGTCTAATGTATACATGTGATTTGATAAACATGTATAATGTATACATGTGATTTTCTATCCCATTGATTCAGTTTTTATGTCGTCAAACCATTCTTAAGATCATACTAATTTCATTATCCGAAACTTTATATTATTGTA